GTACATTTGTGATGCCAACCCTTTCTCTGCCCAAATGAAGTAACTGTCCGCGTTAGCTTATATCTTTGCAGATACCTACAGACGCTTGGGCGGGGAGAGGGAGCAGTTCCTCTAAGGATGAGGAGAAACCTGTAGGATGATCAGACTTTCTGGATTCAGTCAACGTTGGCCAGGCAACATACTTCAGCTTCTCCTGGAGGGATTCTTGGGGGTCAGAGTGTATCACCAGGAGCATTTGTTGAGGGAAAATGAATAGAGCCTGGTTCTTATCGAATTTACACATGTAAATCTGGAGTGACGCAGTTAAAGTCAATGTTATTGAATTCAGAACATGGATTTGGTAATTTTTCCCATGTGCTGAAAAAAGGCAGTGGCATTATTTGGACTCTCAGGAATGGAGAAAATAATTATATATATATATAAAATGAGAAAATGAAACACATTTACAAATATCTTCAATGCCGCACAGATAAATATACATGTCATTTTACAATGGGCCACACTCAGAAGTGGAGGGCCAGAAAGGGTGTCTGTGGGAAGGTCACAATTGTAAAATCACACAGTGTTCAAGGAGGCTGCAGAACTCCCAGCCACAGGATATGAATGGAGCAAAGAGCTTAGCAGGATTCATAGAGGGACTGCGTGTTTATATGGGTAACCAGAAAATCCAAATACACTAGTAAGGACTGATTTGAAAACCATTTCGAATTCCTCTAAGCCTTCCTGATTTACACCACAAAATATCTCTAACTAGTGGGTGTCAGGGGGAATCTTTGAGAGCAGGTTATCTCAGAACTGCCTATTGCAGGTCTCCTTCCACCTTCCTCTGAAGAATGTGGAACTGGCCAGTGGATACTGGGTTAGATGGCCTACGGATCTGATGCAGTCTGGGAATGTCTATCTTGCTATCAGTGGTGTAAATCCAAGACTTGGTTTTTGCTAATTTTTCTTTAGCTCTGGGGAGTCTCTAGACTTGTACTAAGAGCAGAAAGATGTCTCGTTAAATAACATCTAGTTTCCTGTTCTTTTTTCTTTCAGGAAGGAAAGTTCAAAGCTTCTTGGATCTCCCCAGTATATAATGTCAGCCATCAATGACACCAAATTCAAATTCACAGTGTTCCTTCTCACCGGGATACCTGGGCAGGAACACATCCACAATCTCTGGATCTCTCTTCCCTTCTGCTTAATGTATGTTATTTCAATATTAGGAAATTCATTCATTCTGTTCATTATAAAAACAGATCCAAGCCTCCATGAGCCCATGTATATTTTCCTTTCCATGTTGGGCTTCACAGACCTTGGCTTATTGATAGCCACCATGCCGACGATATTGGGCATATTCTTGTTTAACTCTAGGGAGATCAGTTTGGATGCCTGTTTTGGCCAGTTATTTTTTATCCAGTCACTTCATTGCATTGAATCTTCCGTGCTCTTGTTGATGGCCTTTGACCGCTTCATCGCAATCCGTGATCCGCTGAGATATGCCTCCATCTTAACCCTGCCGAGAATAGCCAAGATGGGACTGGTGTGTGTTCTAAGAGGGGTGGCCGTAATGCTCCCACTCCCCCTTCTCCTGAAACGGTTCCAATACTGTCGAGTGAATGTCCTCTCCCATTCTTACTGCATGGACCAGGAGGTCATGATGATGGCTTGTTCGGATATCAGTGTCAACAATATCTATGGCTTGTTTATTACAGTCATAATTTTGGTGTTGGACTCGCTGCTTATCTTCCTCTCTTATGTGATGATCCTCAAAACAGTGCTGAGCATGGCATCCCACAAGGAGTTCCTCAGGGCCCTGAACACCTGTGTCGCCCACCTCTGTGCTGTCCTGCTTTTCTACACTCCAGAGTTCAGCCTGACTTTGATACACAGATTCGGGAATGGCTCTTCTCCCTTGCTTCAGATCGTCCTGGGCTACGTCAACCTGCTGGTCCCTCCTCTGATTAACCCAATCGTGTACAGCGTGAAAAGCAAACACCTTCGTTCAAGGATAATCAGGGTGTTCGTGAAGTGAAGGGTCAGTTTATTACCCGGCCCCAGTGCTGATAGCATATGATGCAAGAAAAATGGGACACGTCGACTTATTCCATCCTGGACCCTTCTATCTGTGATGACATGAGCTACTGATCTCCACTCTGTACAGACAGGTTCAGATGGAGTCTAAGGCCTGAAGCAATGTTATAGGGGTTGTTTCCA